GTCCCGCAGCCCCCCTGCACAGCACCTACCATGAGGACGGCCCCCCCTCCTACTACGACAACCAGGACTTCCCCACCGCCCACTGGGATGACAAGAGCGTCCGGCAGGCCTTCATCCGCAAGGTGGGGGGCTCGGAGGCTGGGGGGGGCACAAAGAGAGGGGGGGACACATTTGAGACCCTGACACCCCCCCTGTGACCGCCCCCCCCCTCCAAAACAGGGGTTCCTGGTGCTGAGCCTGCAGCTGAGCGTCACCTTCGCCTTCGTCGCCGTCTTCACCTTCCTCAAAGGCGTCAAGGGCTTCGTGCAGCGCAATGTCTGGACCTACTACGTCTCCTACGCCGTCTTCTTCATCTCCCTCATCGTCCTCAGCTGCTGCGGGGACTTCCGGCGCAAGCACCCCTGGAACCTGGTGGCCCTGGTAAGGGACAGCCCCCCCCCTTCACCCCCCCAGCCCGGGGACACCCCCCCAGGGTGGGGTTTGAGGGGGACAAACTCGGAGGTGGCTGAGGATCTGGCCCCAAAATGAAGGGTGTTGGGGAGTGATGTCACCAGGTGTGGAGTGACAAAGTGGGGGGGTGGAGATGCCCCGGGGACACCCCCACCTGGGGACACCCCCGTCTTGGGACACCCCTGCCCCGGGACACCCCCCAGGGTGGGCTTTGGGGGGCAAGCTTGGAGCCAGCTGAGGATCTCACCCCCAGATGAAGGGCCGTTGGGGAGTGATGTCACCAGGATGTGGTGCTGGTGACAAATCTTGGGGGTGGCAACACCTTGGGGACACCCCCAGGCAGGGACACCCCCACCTGGGGACACCCCCTGGGGTGGGTTTTGGGGGGACAAACTTGGAGGTGGCTGAGGATCTGCCTCCAAAACGAAGGGTGTTGGGTTCTGGTGTCACCAGGACGCGGTGTGGGGTGACAAAGTGTTGGGGTGGCAGCCGAACCGGGGTGACACAGCGGTGACGGGGTGACACAGCGGTGACAGGGTGACACAGCAGTGACGGGGTGTCTCTCTCTCTCTCTCTCTGTGTGTGACCCCCCCAGTCCATCCTGACGGTCAGCCTGTCCTACATGGTGGGCATGATCGCCAGCTTCTACAACACCGACGCCGTCATCATGGCCGTGGGCATCACCGTCGTCGTCTGCTTCACCGTCGTCATCTTCTCCCTCCAGGTCAGCGCCGGGGGGGGCTCAGGAGGATGGGGGACCCCCCCCCCGGCCCCCTGCTCGGGTTGGGGGGCTCTGAACCAGACATAAACCCTCCCCAGTTCCCTACTGGGGGTGGGGGGCTCCAAACTGGGGGTACGACCCCCCTGGCTCCCTTCTGGGGGGCTCCAAACTGGGCCTGTGACCCCCCCAGCTCCCTCCTGGGGGGCTCTAAACTGGGTGTGCGACCCCCTGGCTCCCTGCTGGGACTGGGGGGGCTCTGAATGGGGTGCAGGACCCCCCCCGTCTCACTGTGCCCCCTCCCACAGACCAAGTACGACTTCACCTCCTGCCGGGGGGTGCTCATCATCTGCCTGGTGGTCCTCATCGTCTTCTCCATCCTCTGCATCTTCATCCGGAACCGCATCATGGACATCATCTACGCCTCCCTGGGGGCCCTGCTCTTCACCTGCGTGAGTCCCGGGGGGGCCCTGACCCCCTGGTGCCCCTTCCCTGGGGGGGACACAAGCCATTGTGGGGGGCGCTGAGCCATTGCCGGGGGGCACCAAGTCATCCGTGGGGGTTTCAGGCTGTGGGTGGTGGGATGGGGGGTGAGGGACCCTCTCGTGGGGTGTCTTCTCGGTTGTGTAGGGTGCTGCTGGCACCCCTGAGTGTCACCCCCCAGTGAGGTGGCTGGAGAATGGCTGGATGGTGGAGCTCAGAGGGTTGGCACCACCGGCCCAGGGTCCATTTGGAGGCCTGTGGCTACTGGTGGTCCCCAGGGGTCAGTACTGGGTCCTGTTCAGCATCTTCATTGAGAACCTGGGTGAGGGCACAGGTTGGGACAGGGGAGAGGACACCAGGATGACACCCCAGAGAGTCGTGCCAACACCCAGCGAGATGGACAGGCTGGAGAGGAACCTCATGGGGTTCAACCAGGGCAGGTGTAGGGTCCCACATCTGGGGAGGAACCACCCCATGGATGGTTCCTCAGGTTTGGGGGTGACCTGCTGGGGAGCAGCTCTGCAGAGGGGGACCTGGGAGTCCTGGGGGACACCAAGTTGCCAACAACAGGCCAATAACGTGCGCTGGTGGCCAACAAGGCCAATGGTCTCCTGGGGTGGCCAGCAGGTGGAGGGAGGTCATCCTCCCACCTCTGCTGAGATGTTTGGGGGTGACCTGCTGGGGAGCAGCTCTGCGCTCAGAGGGTTGGCACCACCGGCCCAGGGTCCATTTGGAGGCCTGTGGCTACTGGTGGTCCCCAGGGGTCAGTACTGGGTCCTGTTCAGCATCTTCATTGACAGCCTGGATGAGGGGACAGGTCGGGACAGGGGAGAGGACACCAAGGTGACACCCCAGAGAGTCGTGCCAACACCCAGCGAGATGGACAGGCTGGAGAGGAACCTCATGGGGTTCAGCCAGGGCAGGTGTAGGGTCCCACATCTGGGGAGGAACCACCCCATGGACCAGTAGATGTTTGGGGGTGACCTGCTGGGGAGCAGCTCTGCAGAGGGGGACCTGGGAGTCCTGGGGGACACCAAGTTGCCAACAATGGGCCAACAACATGCCCTGGTGGCCAAGAAGGCCAATGGTCTCCTGGTGGTGGCCAGCAGGTGGAGGGAGGTCATCCTCCCCCTCTGCTCTGCCCACAGCTGGAGCACTGGGACCAGTTCTGGGCTCCCCCAGTTCCAGAAGGACTGGGAGCTGCTGGGGAGAGTCCAGGGGGAGCTTGAGGATGATGAGGGCCTGGAGCATCTCTGGGCTGAGGGACCTGGGGCTGTTCAGCTGGAGAAGAGCAGGCTGAGGGGGGACCTCATCAACATCTAAAGGGTGGGGGGCAAGAGGATGGGGCCAGACTCTTCCCAGTGGTGCCCGGGGACAGCACAAGGGGCGACGGGCACAAAATGGGACACAGGAAATTCCAAAAAAATCAGGAAAAAGGTCTTTCCTGTGAAGGTGCCAAGAGGGTGTGGAGTCTCCTTCTGTGGAGATCTTCAAACCCCACCTGGACGCATCCAGCCTGCTCTGGGTGGCCTTGCTGTGAAGGGGTGGGACTGGGTGATCTCTAGGGGTCC